TTTTGCAAAACGACATAAATCATGAAAATAACTTAATGGACCGAAAAATTCCTATTCATCTGATTACCATTGATCTCTAATATTTCTATTTTTATCATATTTTTACATTTCATAAATACATGTTCCAATATCTTTATTTCACCTGCTGAAGTAGTTGAAAACGAATTCGAACTGCACTAGAGAAATACTGAAAAACTTTTGCAAAATCGAAAAAGCCCCCACTGTTGGCGACCAACACTTTTGTCTGACTTTAGGAAGCATATTATTGTATATTCTCAGAACTTTTCACTGAAAATACACAATTAATCAAAAAAATTTCAAGTAAATTCACCGCTTTATGGATAGCTAACCAGGATAAGATTCGTAGAGAGCAATCCGATTCAGCAAGCGTTCCAAACGTTCATCCTTTTCCTTTATCAGTTGCTCCAGTTGAGTAGTTTCTGCTCGATATTGAACTTCAGCTTGGACCTACAACGAAGACATACTGTAAAAAACTGTATAATATCATAATCATAATCACTTGTAATCATAATCATAATCACTTGTAATCATAATAATAATAATCATAATAAAAAATAATCATAATCACTTGCCTAACATTAACCAACAGAAAAAATAACAAGGCATTCTGCAAAGCCAGTAAGTTCCTTTTTTTGCTATAAATAGATATAAATATTTCATAGTTTTTATGTAACATTTCTCCATTTCATACAATTAGTCACTACCGCATATCCTTTCCATATCCCCCTTTATCTTTTTCTCTTATCTTTTACATTTTGTTCTTACTTTAGCTCCATTTTTCCCAACAAATAACTTTTTTATGGAGTCCCTGTCTGGCGCCATTTCCCATTTTACCGGAAAAGCTCACATTCCTTAGCTTCCGGGGGTGGTTCCAGTCCTCCTTACTCAAGCACCCCTTTCTATCGTTCGAGGCTTAGCTTCGTTTGCCTACCGGTCTTGGTCTCACCATCGAACTTCGTCTCTTCATCGACTTACGTCTCCAGCCCTGCCACTGCAACTTCTTTCTAAGCCTACCCGAGGTACACGCAGTACTTCCCCTATTCAACCACGTAGCCTTATCCCTCTCTCTTCTGATCCCTTGGCTGGATTTCCTAAATCGCCGCATATAAATGACTCATAAATTTAATTATTTTATCCAACCGTCGTACTCACAACACATACACAACTCGATCCACCGCACTTTTACTCTGCTAATGATTTTACTCGTGCACGCCGAGTGCCGTTATGACCTGGATCGCTTGAACCCAGGTCATAACGCAGTTAGTTTGGATAGCAAGGGCTTTTCGTCCAAAGATTTGAAGTATCAGACCTCTTACTGCACTAAATTATACAGAATCCTGTAATGCGTAAGTAAGATATTGTGTATTTTTCCTTTTTCCTTCTACTATTTCTTCTATTTACATCTTTTCATCTTAACTAATTTATACACCTTAGTAAATTATTTTGTTACCACAATCGTCGTACTGACGAGGTCCAATTGTGGTAACGGTAAGAAAGGTATACGACTTAATGGACCGAAACATTTCTTACCAATAACAAACATTTCTTTAGACCCCTTACCTACTTTAATATCCTTTTCTTCCTTTTCATTATTTTTTTCTTCTGATATTTTCCTTTTAACCTTTAATTGTAAAAACAGACAGCAAAAACACCTGAAAATTGCGGAAATCATTCTGGACCTGTCCCAGCTCCGTCTTCAGTTGTGTAATTTCGAGCTTAAACTTTGCGTTTTCTTCCTTTAGATCTTCCTGCAAGAAGGACATCGTATATTTCTACTCTAATATTCGTCGCATTTATAACAGCAATACATATAAATTAAATGCAGATTGGACTCATATCATACTAATATACGTCATTTTACCAGGACAATGTAATCGTACACAATCCGGCTTCCTCCCGACCAAGTTTCAACTACATTACCACAGTCGTCGTACTGACAAGGTCCAATTCTGGTAACAGTAAGAAATGTATACGACTTAATGAACCGAAACATCTCTTACCAATTTTCTAAAAAATTTTTTATAAAAATAATTTTTAAAAAATTTGAAAATTATAATTCTTTTCCATTTTCTCGTTCCCCTTTTTTGCTTCTTTTTTCTTTTTGCATTACTTTCTCTTTAACTACTACTAACTTTCAAAAAAAAACATTAATTATGATGTATATGAAATATAAAAATATACTAAAAATTAAATGCACAGGAATGTTTCGGTCCATTAAGTCATACACATTTTCCTATTCAGCATCACAACTGGATCTCGTCAGTATGACGGTTGTAGCACTGATAAGAAGCAATGTAAAATAAATTTCAGGAAATGGTGCTATGGATTTCCACACTATCACTTGCATTTCTAAATGTTCCATTTAGTTTACAAAATAAGACATGGGCGAAATAAACTGAAACTCTTATCAATGCTTCAAAAAGTCCGACTGAGGATGTTATCATGATTTTATGGAAAGTGATCGTGGGGTTTTCAAGAGAAATCCCATCGACTCT